AAATCATACTTAAACATGATCATAGCATGAAAGTTCATCTGTGTTGGTATACTTCATTATGCATGACCAAAGGGGCTAAACGTTCTAGCCAGCACTAAGTAAATTGGGACGCTCGTTGAAAACACGGTTTCTTGAACACCAACGCCAGAGTTCTACCAGCTCAGAGGCATCTCAACATATGCCTGATAAACACATAGAACCTCCAGAACACTCCGTCTCGCTGGACAAAGTGAAAATTCTGGACTCAGAACCGGATTTCGCGAGAGGAGTAAATGAGGTGGTGTACATTCGAGCCAACCGTCCAACACTGAACAGAGACGGGGAGCGACACAGGTTATCTGACACGTACGATCCTTTGTTGCAATCACGTGTTTCCGACGTCACGTCTCGGAAGCTGCAGTAGAAGGTTCCATCCGTGAACAAGGCTGACGGAGTCGGCCGAAAATTTGGGTAAGTCCAAATTTACTTAGTGTTGGCTAGAACGTTTAGCCCTTTTGGTCATAATGGTTGATCATATCTATCACATACAAAAGTCATACATCAATCTAAAAGCAATCGCTCAGCTGAGTCCCCCTATTAGAATCGAGTCCTGACTGTGTTAACAAAAGATTCGTAGCCCTAAAAGCAAATCAATCTTGTCAGTCTATGATACTAGTTTGCATGTTAAATAAGCGTTTACCACTGTTACCTGCCAAAGGTTCTACGCCTCTAACATATTCCCGCTGTACACCACGTGTTACGGCGATGGGACAGCTGAGTCGGACATCGAGAGGAGGGTGGTGAACTATCTCAAGGTCAGAGGAGGAAGGAGATGGGGATTTCGAAGGGAGGGAGTTGAATGGGAGGAAGGTTAAGGGGGAAAGGATGGAGGTTTCCAGAGAAAGGGTGGTCAGAGGGAAGTTTGAGGGGGGAGGTCAGGGGAGGTTAGAGTAGTAATAGGAGTTTCGAAGATATGGAGTTCAAAGGGAGGAAGGTTAGGGTGAGTAAAGGATGGAGGTTTCAGAGAAAGGGTGGTCTGAGGGAAGTGACAGGAAGGCGGGACTGTCAAGGAAGTAAGAGGAAGGTTAGAGTGAAGGAAGTTAGAGGAAGGTCGGAGGGGGAGGTAAGAGGAATGGAGGGGGTAAGAGGTACGGAGGTGAGAGGGGGTTTGATGGGAGAGGGGGATGAGGAAAGTCACTGGGAGGGAGGTCTTAGGGAGGAGAGGGAGGGAGGCAGGGGATATATTGAATGTTGGTTCACATAGGGTGTCTTCTTAACTCATTATATCATTTGGACAGAGGGAGAATGTTCTGGACTATCCCGGAGGAGTTCCTACTTCAACTATCCACAGCGGAGAACAGTGGGATTTTCCTAACGGATGGCCTCCTTTACAGGTAGCTGTTTCATTCCAAAACGTGTTTCATTTTAAACCGGGATTTTTAATACTAAGAAATGGAATACATCTGAGTTCTAGAATGTATTCCATTCCAAAATATTTTTTAATAACACGAAGTGGAAGATATGTTATGAAACCTTTAGGATAGTTGTCCAGTTGTTCCGTGATTTTACAATGCAACAAAGAATACATGATTCCTAAACGTGGCCCATTCCACAATACATATGTGAACCCTTTTAACATAATACAAAACATTTTGATACAATTAGCTCTCAAGGTAAATACCTGCAGCCTGGCGTATGTAAACGTATGTATTCTTGTTTCTAGCACCTTGTTATTGAAGGCTTGGCGAGCAGTTCTGTCGGTGAGGTGCAGCAGCTTGCCCGGGAGCTGGCTCAGAGATGGATAAACGTGAACTACAGGCAGTTCGCCAAGACCCAGGCCATGTGGGAGAAGGTAAGCAATATTGAGATGGAGTATTTTCGTTTCATTAACAGTCGTTGCCATTTGAAAGTACTTTTTGGACTTTTCTTTGGGTTGGCGTAAAAACGATACTGGTGCAAAACAGAATGCCCAATTAAAAAAGCGTCAAAACACTACAAAAATAAGTCAAAATCCAAATCTCTGTAGAGTAATTTGAATAATGGAAGGTATATAGCGGAACGACAAACTTCATATCTATTAGAACGCTCCGTCAGATCGTGATATTTCGTGATGTACAGGATAATGGTCTTAGCACTAGCTTTTGTTGACGAGGGTTTGTGCTTTCGTGTCTAAGTGATGTGTTTGCCCCTCAAAAACGTTATGACGCGCGGATATGGCATCGACCATTTCAAATGGCACAGCCGTTTACAAGACGGAAACTCGCGTCGGGCACGTGATAGTCATAACTGCTGCACATAGTATGACGTAACGTTGTTGTTGTGCAAATGTACAGTATGACGTGGAGACAGGGGAACATCCGGGAAGTGGTGGCGAGTATGACGTCCAGGTAAGAAGGCTATGGCCTTATTACCTTCGCCAAGAAGGTTATGTTTTCGGTAGCGTTTGTCCGTCTGTCCGTTCGTTTGTCCGTTTGTTTGTCTGTTTGTGAACAGCATAACTCAAGAAGCTTGATATGGATTGTCATGAAACTTGGTATGTGGGTAGGTCTTGATAAGACCTAGAAATGATTAGATTTTGGGCCCCCTGGCTGCTTTTGTTGGTACTGCAGCAGGATTCCAGGACATCAAGATTCCGGTTTTGATATCTCGCGATCTGGATATGCTAGGGTCACTAATTTTGGTTGGTAGATAGCTCTCGGGGTAGACAAGACGTGGCGTGGCGTGAGCGTGAACGTGGCGTGAGCGTGGCGTGGGTCTCCTAGCGGCTTGTTCTGGAACTGCATGGCCATTTGATGAAAAATCTTCGAAGAAGGATAACTCAAGAACCGGTCGACGTATTGTCGTGATTTTTGGCATGTAGGGAGCTGAAGTAATGCTTGACATAATCAGATGACAATTATGCAAATCAGGAGCTTATTTGCATAATTAATGAGGAAATTCTATAAATCTGCTTCTTTCGATAATAGGACTATAAAACACTTGTGAACGAGAAAAACATCTCAGGATATAGATTATGTAGATAAAGACCAAATTTGCATAATTAGAATGGGAAATTGTTATAATTTCATAGTTGTAATTGCTGGAAATTTTATACTTGCCGCATTTGGAAGTTGAGTGAACGTGAACATCAATAAAGATACATTTATTCAAATGATGACCTCAATTGCATGATTTATGAGGAAGTGCTAGGATAGCCTTTTTGTTAAGATAAGACTGTTATTGGGTGGAGCATATGATCAACTGATGTAATCATGCAAATGAGGCTCTTACTTGCGAAATCAATGATTGAAATTGTATAATTCGTCAACCGGAAGGGTTAACATCTTTTGGCGAAGATATGAGATCGTGGAACTCTTGTTTCTTTTCTACAACAGCCATTTGAGGAATAAGAAATAAGAAATCGGACGTTTCTGACCCCTTGACTTTATAATACGGATCAATGACCCCCCCCCCTCCTGTTTACCATCAGACACAACAACATATAGCATCACTTCTAGAGCTCTACTCAACATCAAAGCCATTTTTAATAAAAAGGACAAAACCCTTTGAGCTGCCAGCAATTAGCAAGGTGTGCCAAGAAAAAGCCTTAAGTTTATGCTGTTGGTTTGGATGCTCTCGCCCTTAACTTGGTCCAAACCTATAGCTGTTAACAGCTCATGAACATCACACATTTGTCTTCCTCTCTTTAGGTGGGTTTCGGTTGGACCAACGGCGTTGTTTTGCACCTGCTGGACAAGTATGGACATGTTCTGCGGGCGCCCCCTATCTCCACCGCGGCTACAGTGGTACTGCATCGTGGTGCTCTCATCCTCAGTATCATAGCATCCATTAGTACCGGACAGCTTCATTTTGAGTGTCTTTAATTACAAGACTCTTTCAACAGATTTGAATCAAACTTGTAGTTTTCTTGTCGTATGTTTTGCTTTACCCTCATGCAATACAGTGTTGTGTTTGTACGTGCGGCATTGACATGATTTATGCATTCTTATTAAATCGTTAAAAAGACAAACAAGAATTTTGTTGTCTTGTTGAATTGATTTTTAAGAAATGCAGTATATAGAATATATTGAATCGTAAACTCTTATTGAAAACATCTATTAAAAACAATGGTTTTCACACGCCCAAATGAATAAATTTATGCCACTACCAAAACAAGAACAATACGAAAATGCAAAACAAGCAAATTTCACAAGTAATATAGATTTTCTCGTTCATATAAAGTGGTCATCCATTGAAGCCGATAGTGTGAAGTGATGGGATTATCACAAGAAGCCTTCGAACAACCAGTTCGAATTAATTAGACAGGCTCTTACTCTGTTTTAGATAGGTTAGATAGGTTACTAAAAATGAAGCATACATACTTAATTAGAAAATTAAGTCCTTTAGAGTCGTTAAGAAATTTCATATATACATCGACCAGACAAATCTTAACACAGCCCACTTCTCGCACTAAATACATACGATTGATACAATTTTTTAATTAGAATATTTACTTAAAGCAAATCCTCAGTGCGTGCCCAGCTGCACTCTCCAGTGGGAAGTACACATGGAGACATAACAATGTGCTGAGAGTTTTAGTCAACGCCATCAAGAAGAGAGTTGAGCATGTCAATGCTGAGGAGTTACCCTTCGACATCCAGTACTTCACCCCATTTATGAAAGAAGGTTCCGAGCCATGCCAGCACACCAGCTTCAAACGCTGTACCCTTTCAGCTGCTAATGACTGGGAAGTAAGGGCTGATTTGGATGGTAAAGTTGGTCTTCCAGAAGAGATAGCACTGACTTCGCTTCGCCCCGATATTGTTATCTGGTCCAAGAGTGCTCGAGAAGTGATGTTGGGGGAACTCACAGTCCCACGGGAAGATAATGTAGAGGAAGCCTATGAGAGGAAACTAACAAAGTATGGAGAGCTGCTAGCAGTCTGCAGGGACAGAGGATGGAAGGCAGTGTGTTACCCGGTCGAGGTTGGATGCAGGGGTTTCGTGGCCTCATCTCTGCAGAAGTGGCTAAGACAGTTGGGATTCACCAGGAGAGAAGTTAAGTCCATCTCAAAATCAGCAGCAGAAGCAGCAGAAACGGGGTCCTCATGGATTTGGAACAAGTACTTGGAGAGACGGAATGCGGAACGACCCCGCTGTTAGAACTTTGTGATACAGAACCGTGTTCTATGCGAATAGAACCGCGTTTTTTTGAGAACTGGCAGTTAGTTTTTAGTTGTTTTCAAGTGCTCACCAGTGGGAGGTGGTGCTGAGCGCTGCTGGCCCGCCACCCTGAGGAAATACTGATTTAAAGGGCCGAAATTTCCGCTGAAGGGTGGAATCAGCTGAGGATCCCACTGGTGAGGCCACGAGACTTTTATAGTCATGTGTGTATTTTTAAACTTTACATTTCTAGGAAAAACGGCAGGCGCTTAAATAAATGCAATGACTTAATAGATGAACGCTACTTAGATTCCTTTTACTAGGACCTGATTGTAATGTGGAATATCGGATCTTTAGAGAACTATCATAGCAGGGTGATCATCTGTTCGAAAAATCTAAGATAAATTTGTCATTTTATATAGGAATGAGATAAATATTCCCTATAACAACAATTCTTGTATACTAGAGTTTCAAAATTAAGATTCTAAAAATTCCTATTCCTTATGAAACTAGGCAAACCATGCATCATAATTATATAAGCAAGATATTTTGATACATCTACAACTGACTCTAGAAACAAGAACAAGAGTTCCGAGATCTCATACCTCCATGAAATATGGGCTCGCTTTGTCCTCATTAATTATGCAAATACCTCTACATTAACATAATACATGCATAGCGATGCATACCTTTAAGTAAGTTACACATGATACGAGGTATAAAATAACCATCATTCACCAATAAGGATTCACAGAATTTTTACATTAATTATGCAAATTAGGTCATCATTTGCATAATTGATATCTGTTGATGTTCCGCCTGCCACAGATTAAATAGATTACATGTATAGCAGTACCATTATATGAAACACTGTAATTATAAAATTTCCTCAATAATTATGCAAATTAAGTCCTCATTTGCATAATTTGCATTTAATCATGTACAACTGTCTCTCAGGTACCTGCACACCAAAAATGATGAAAATACGTTGTTCCAATCTGGACTTATTGGCTTTGAAAGTTTTTACCAGAAACTAACCTGCAGTTCCAGAACAAGCTGCTAGGGGCACCAAACTTACGCCACTTATTCCTGACAGGATAAGCTATCTGTCACCAAAAAGTCAAGACCATAGCTTGTTCAGGACAAAAGATACAAAAACCGGAAGTTCTGCTGCAGTACCAAGGTCATCCACCAGGAGGCCCATACTTGACCTTGACCTTTGTCTTTCCAAGACTTACCATCATACAAAATATCATCACAATCCATAAAGGCGTTCTGAAGTTATGCTGACTACAAAGTTGCGGAAACACAGACAGACAGATACACACACAGACAGACACACACACACACAGACATACATACATACAGACAGACACGCCAAAAACAATACCTCCATTTTTCATGGAGGTAAAAAGTCGAGCCTGTACAAAGTAGTCCACTTTAGTCTGCATATTTTAGATATCACTAAGTGTAATTTTACTTTAGCTTCACCTATGACCTGTACGTAGCTTGTAGAATGCAATAAAGGTCTCTCATCCATACAGTAATTAATTGATTCATTCCTTGCTACATGCATTAGATGTTAACCACTATTGTGTCCTTTTCTGGTTAACATTCAGTTGAGTACTTGTTGCCTCAATAATAGAGTTTTTTCATACAATGTATATATCTGATTCTCGTCCAACAAACTCATGATGAAACTCATGAGCTCCACGATCTCATACCTTCGGCAAATAATGATGATATTTATGACTGACAAAGTAAAGATAATTCCTCATAATTATGCAAATAGGAACCTCATTTGCATAAACTATATCACTTGATCATATTCTCCACCAAAAGACGGTTTTATCTCAACAAAAAAGGCCATTCTATCATTTCCTCATAAATTATGCAAATAAGGTCCTTATTTGAATAAGTTATAGTTAATGATGTTCACCTTAACTTAACACTTTACCGGCCAGAAGACGAAAATCAATTTTAAGGCATTACCATACCAAAACACCTTCCCAGCAGGTTTTTTTCGTGCAAACCCTATCATTTAGAGCCTGAAACGCGTTATACAGGCGAATTTCAGCAAAGTCGCTATTTCTTTTGGAAATGGTCGGAATAATTTTCTTGCATTCCTAACGTCCCTCTGAGGTGTTAGAAGTGCAAGAAAAATACTCCCGACCTTTTTAAAAAAATTTCCGCACATTATACGTATAAAAAAAATTTGGTCGGTTTTTTTCGTGCAAAACCTATGATTTAGAGCCTGAAACGCGTTATACAGGCGAATTTTAACAAAGTCGCTATTTCTTTTGGAAATGGTCGGAAAAAATTTTCTTGCATTCCTAACGTCCCTCTGAGGTGTTAGAAGTGCAAGAAAAATACTCCCGACCTTTTAAAAAAATTTCCGCACATTATACGTATCGGAAAAAATTTGGTCGGTTTTTTTCGTGCAAAACCTATGATTTAGAGCCTGAAACGCGTTATACAGGCGAATTTTAACAAAGTCGCTATTTCTTTTGGAAATGGTTGGAAAAATTTCTTGCATTCCTAACGTCCCTCTGAGGTGTTAGCATTGCAAGAAAAATACTCCCGACCTTTTAAAAAAATTTCCGCACATTATACGTATAAAAAAAATTTGGTCGGTTTTATTCGTGCAAAACCTATGATTTAGAGCCTGAAACGCGTTATACAGGCGAATTTTAACAAAGTCGCTATTTCTTTTGGAAATGGTCGGGAAAAATTTTCTTGCATTCCTAACGTCCCTCTGAGGTGTTAGAATTGCAAGAAAAATACTCCCGACCTTTTAAAAAAAATTCCGCACATTATACGTATAAAAATTTTGGACGTTTTTTTCCATGCAAAACCTTTCTTTTGGAAATGGTCGGGAATAATTTTCTTGCATTCCTAACGTCAACTCTGAGGTGTTAGAAGTGCAAAGAAAAATACTCCCCGTAACCTTTTTAAAAAAAATATCCGCACATTACACGTATAATGTAATTTTGGTTCGTTTTTTCCGTGCAAAACCTATCATTTAGAGCCTGAAACGCGTTATACAGGCGAATTTTTAACAAAGTCACTATTTATTTTGGAAATGGTCGGAAATAATTTTCTTGCATTCCTAACGTCACTTCTGAGGTGTTACAATTGCAACAAAAATACTCCCGACCTTTTAACAAAATATCCGCACATTATAGGTATAATGAAATTTTGGACGTTTTTTTCCATGCAAAACCTTTCTTTTGGAAATGGTCGGGAATAATTTTCTTGCATTCCTAACGTCAATCTGAGGTGTTAGAAGTGCAAGAAAAATAATCCCGACTTTTCAAAAAAATCCTCACACTATACGTATAAGACGGTTTTTTCCGTGCAAAACCTATAGATTTAGAGCCTGAAACGCGCTATACAGGCGAATTTTACAAAGTCGCTATTTCTTTTGGAAATGGTCGGAAAAAATTTTCTTGCATTCCTAACGTCCCTCTGAGGTGTTAGAATTGCAAGAAAAATACTCCCGACCTTTTAAAAAAATTTCCGCACATTATACGTATAAAGAAAATTTGGTCGGTTTTTTTCGTGCAAAACCTAAGATTTAGAGCCTGAAACGCGTTATACAGGCGAATTTTAACAAAGTCGCTATTTCTTTTGG